CTCTAGTAATGTCAGTGCCAGAACATTCTTCCTGGAGCCTGGGAACAAAGGAACAGGCCAAGTGGGTGGGGACATCCTGAAATCTAACGGTAGAGGGTGTGGGGAAAAGGGAACCCTTGTGCACTGTTGGTGGGAATGCAGATGGGTGCAGCCACTGGGGAAAGGAGTACCAAGATACTTCAAAAAATTAAAAACGGAACTGCCTTATGACCCAGCACTTTCACTCCTGAGAATTTATCAGAATAAACTTTGAACCACTAATTCAAAAAAAAAAAAAATATGTATCCCTATGTTCATTGCAGCATTATTTACAATAGCCAAGATTTGGAAGCAGCCTAATTGCCCATCAGTAGATGAGTGGGTAAAACAGCTATGGTACATTTATACCATGGAGTACTACTCAGCCATACAAAGGAAGAAAATGTTGTCCTTTGTGACAATATGGATGGACCCGGAGAATATGATGCTAAGTAAAATAAGACAGAGAAAGACAAGTACCATATCATTTCACTCATGTGTGGAATCTAATGAACAAACTGAACTGACAAGCAAAAGAGAGACAGATTCATACATAGAGAGCAGGCAGACAACTCTTGGGGGAGGTAGATGTTGGGGGAGGTGAAAGTATTGAGCAAAAAAGAAAAAAGAAAAAAAGAGGAAACTCATGTACACAAACAACTGTGTGTTGATTGTGTGGAGGAGGGAAGTGAGTAGAGGTAGAAGAGGGTATAGGGGGATAAATGGGGAAAAAATAAAATTGGTTATTATTTACATATCATGTGGGGTTTGAGGAGTCAAGGCTCCATTCTGAGCTTCAGGAAGTGCTCAGCACAGAGGTCTGAGTTCAGGAAGCCAGAGCTGCCATGGGTGCAGGGATGAGGAGTCAGGATCCCAGAGGAGGTGCCAAACGAGGTGCTCGCAACTCTGTGTAACAGAAGGGCTAAGAGGCCCGGCCTATGCAGCTCCGAAAAGGACAATGCCCTTGAAAGTGCATCTGTTGAAATGCTCAGAGGAGGAAGGGGTGTGGCTTTGGCTAATCAAGGCCATTACTGCGGTCAGTCAAGCATCTGTCCACACCATTGTTTTAGCATACACCTTATACAGAATTCAAAATCAGGCGCTGCGAGGAGACCTGGAAGAGTGGAGAGGTACAGTTTCTGCCCCAGAGAATTACCCAGGATAAGGAGGAGGTGGCTGCAGTAACCACATTTTCTCATTCAAAAGTTAGACAGGCAGACTGACAAGTATAAATATACTTTTGAAGTTAAGAACTGTAATGTTTATAATCAGGATGTCAAAGAAAGAATACACAGCCCACATCGTCAACAATTATATGGGACAGACATAAAGGAAGAAAACAGAACAAACACATGGAATGATAAAACAAGATAAGCAAAGACAGTTGAGGTCAATGTTACGTGTCATGTGTGAGAACAAGTTGGCTTGGATGTCTCTGTAACCCAATTGCCTACAGCACATGTGTCAAACACAAGGCCCGCGGGCCAAATCCGTCCCACCAGGCCTTGCAATGTGGCCCGCATCGCGCTGTCATCACTGCACTCCACTGCGTTTCCATCACAATGACAGTTTATGACTGTTCAGTAAACCATTCGGCCCGCAATTTAGGCTGGATTTTAGATTTTGGCCCCTTCTCTGATTGAGTTCGACACCCCTAGCCTACAGCCTATTGGATCATTAGCCCCCTCAAAGCAAATTCTTTATTTCTGGGAATTCACAAAGGGGTGTCTCGTATCTTCACAAATTGGTCTGTCATTGGCAGTCATTATTTGGTGCCCTCCCTGCTCTCACTCCTCTATCCCAGTTTCCTCTCATAGTTGTTCTTTATTCTCTCCATTTATATTCATAATGGACATCTTTATTCTTTTTTAAAAATATATTTTTATTGATTTTTTTACAGAGAGAAAGGGAGCGGGATAGTGAGTTAGAAACATCGATGGGAGAAAAACATTCATCAGCTGCCTCCTGCACATCTCCTACTGGGGATGTGCCCACAACCAAGGTTGACCGGACCTTTCAGTCCACAGACCAACACTCTATCCATTGAGTCAAACCGGTTTTGGCCATGTTCTTTATTCTTGAGAAACTCCCTCAAGTTCTTGCCCATTCAGTAACTCTATTAGGCACCTACTATGTTTCCTGCCCTGTATGAGGCAGTAGGGCTCAGAGACCAGTAAGACACAGTCTTTCAATCAAAGAGCTGTCTACTCCTTAGGAGAGAAAGTACATTAGCAGATGATATGAACTTCCAGTGGTCTTCTCATCTTAAGAAGACCTGAAAGAGGACTACAGAACTGCTCCTTTGCAGCTGCTCTGATCATCCCATGAGCTTCCCACCCCCAGGGCAGCAAAGGAAACTAAATGTTAATCCATCCTGAGCAGCTCAGTTTGATCAACCACTTTACATGCTCTTAAGGAAGCTAGGTCTCTGCTTGGGTAACCCTGGCAATTGCTTAATCAGTGATTCACTTCCTCCCCAACCCAGCTCCTGTCTAAGAAGGGTGGGGGTAGTATAGGTGATGTGGCTTCAGAAGGAGACAATATGCATGGACTTATGTGTTCCCACTGGTCTCTGATGAGCTATATGTATGACTCCCACCAGGGCAGCTGGTGGCCCATCATTGCCTGCATAGTGTGGCCCCTTTGCTCCAGGTCAGCACTCTGTAGGTTCTTTACCTTCTTCTCTCAGTATCTCAGGTCTTCTCAAGGAAGCCTGTGGGCTCTTTGAAGCGTTTACATAATCTGCATGGGTATAAGCCAAAAGTTTATTTCTGGACAGGGAAAGGGGGGATGTTGAGACTTTACATTGCTCTTTAGTCTTCCTCTGCCACATTTTTAAAATATATATATATTTAAAATAAATATATTTAATCAAAATAAATATATATTTAATATTTAACATATATTTAATAAATATATATTTGTTTGATATATCAATATATTTAAAATATATTTTATATATATTTAAAATATATATATATATATTATTTCAGAGAGGAAGAGAGAGAGAGAAACATCAATGATGAGAGAGAATTATCAATTGGCTACCTCCTGTATGCACCCCACTGGGAATTGATCCTGGAACCCCAGTATGTGTCCTGACAGAGAATTGAACGGCGACCTCCTGGTTCATAGGTCAAATGCTCAACCACTGAGCCACACAAGCTGGGCTCCTCTGTCACATTTTTCTTTCCACAGTCTTCAGGCTAAAGAAGGCAGACTTCAGACTATTTCCTGAACATCATATACTCTTTGTACCCTCAGACAATAAGCCTTAAGGCCTGGCCATCAGAGACAAAAGAGGCCATTTGTCTCTAGTCCTGTAGAACTCTGTTATCCAGTCCACAGGCTGTTGTTCGATGATATTTCAAAGGAGTAGATAAAAAGAAATTAAAATATCCTTTTGTCTCTTACAGAGTTTGGCTTTCAAGCCTTTCGTCTTGCTACCGACTCTAAAAGACTGTGACAGAAGCTGAATATAGACTTTCTCTTTTCCGTTTCACACCTGCTGAAGCAACCATAACTCTTCCAGAGACAGGCAGGTGCCTTGAGCTGTCTAGGGAAAAGTTAAAGACACAGAAATACAGATGGGAGGGAAAAAATCTTATTTATATAAATCAGAATGATTTTTGCAGTTCCTTTGTGAAGCTCAAAGCCAATGCTTCCCAACTCTTCTCCCCATCCTTTGACTTATTGAACTACACAACGGGTCTTTCATTGTAGAAACTTGGTAGACTCAGGCTTCCTCCAGGATGTAAAAAGGATATTTTGAGAGGCAGCTATTGCAAAACTAAGACCAGGGTTAGAGATTACCAAGAGGGAGCTGTAAACTTTGGTCTCATCATGATATAAAGATTCCTTACAGGAATGAAAGAGAGGAAGAAGAAGAGGAGGAGGAGGAAGAGTTCTTTTTTTAAAGTTTAAAGTTTAAGGAAGCTGGGAAAGCACAAAACCAAGATTCCCCCACCCCTCTTTGTAACAAAGAATTTCCTAGGTACTCTACTGTTCCGTATCTCCAACAATCTCCCTAACAATTCCTACAAGGAAACTACAGCTTCCCCATTCCACAGGTGTGAAATTGAGGGTTAACAAATTATGAGTCAGGTTTCAAAATTGCACAAGTTGGTGAGCATACGTTCTACTGGCAGCCCTCATGGGAATGGTGGACATAGCGATGAGGGGGCAGGAGAGCTAGAGTGACACTCCTCCTCAAAGCCTGAAAGCAAGAAGAGGCCACCTGGCTGAGAAGCTGGTGACAGAACCCAGGATGCTGGCTGCTAGGATGTCACCTTTGTCCTTGCTCTGACGTGTTGGAGAAAATTCACTGGGGGCAGAGGAATAAACAGAGTGGCTTCTGGAAAGAGGCCCTCACTCAGTATCTATGTGATTCTATGATAGGAAAGAGAACCCCAAGGAGGACCCGACAGATACGAAAATAATAGAATTCAGGCCACATTCCAATCTTCCTTTGGGATGGAACAGGGTCTTCCATCTCTTCAGTAGTTCTCTGCAGTCTCTTATTCCCCAGCCTTTTAAAAGCTTCTATCCCTCTTAAAAATCTATCGGTTTGGCTCAGTGGATGGAGCTTCAGCTTGCAGACAGGGGGGTCCCAGGTTCGATTCTGGTCAAAGGCATGTACCTTGGTTGCAGGCACATCCCCAGTGAAGGGTGTGCAGGAGGCAGCTGGTCGATGTTCCTCTTTCATCGATGTTTCTAACTATCCCTCTTCCTTCCTATCTGTAAAAAAATCTATATATATATATATATATATATATATATATATATATATATATATATATATATATTTAAAAATCTATTGGAGGTCTATCCCTCAAATACACCTTCCTTCTCAGGAATAAGAAGCATGAGGTGGAGACAGGATGGATTGGGACACAAGTCCCATTTAGCGTGGGCCCCAGTTCAGTTCCTATTGAGCCCAAATCCTCATCTCCCCCTCATACTGGTTCTCATCACAGACAGGGAAGAGCTGATGGGCCCCCAGGACCCATTGGATTGGCACCCCCTTTGAAGATTATCTCCTAAGCAAATTGCCCCCCTCCCCTTCTAAACTGGGGATGTAAGGGCTTTGAAACTAGAAAAAATGCCAGGTCTGAAAGAGAAGAAAGAACAAGTCCAGCCACACACAGAGCTCTGTGTGTTCAGAGCAAAGTTGGCAGCGTTGTGCTCGGGCAGAGAAACTCCGAGTGGTACAAAGGGACGTGCCCAGAGTGAAGAAATCATGCTAATTGCCTGCCCCAAGGCTGGAGGACGCCACCCAAAATGAAGAGAGAAAGGGGAGCCCAGTCCAGAGCCTTCAGTGCCCTGCGCCTCATTCCTTTTGTCTACCTTCTTCTGATCCAGACAGGTAGGAGACCGGAAGGGTAAGAGAGGGTTTGGCGAAGGGACTGGGGCTTCCCAAGGTGAGGGAGGGGAGCGTGGAGGGCCAGAATGTCCTTCGGGTGGGAGGAGGGGAGAGAGAGCTCAGCTGTGTGGGAAGCCTCTCAGTGAATTCAGGCATTAGTGTTGAATGTATTTCTTCATTCTGCACGGCCCCTGCCCCCTCCCCCAAAGGCCTGCATGACTTCGGAGCTCCCACGGCATTCAGGACATTAGAGGAAGGGCAATGAGCCATTTTTATAGGATGGCTTGTTGGGACTGGCCAGTTCCGGCATTCTTTGCAAGGATTCTGGTGAGGCTTGGTGGGGTGGGGGAATCTTGGTTTTGTGCTTCCCCGGCCTCCTGCCCCCACTTCTCTGAGTCTGACATAGCAAGAAATATAAGAAGCTTTGGCGATAACAAGCCCCCTGGTTTCGGAGAGTCACAGCAAACTACCCATAACTCACCCTACACCGTAGACACCTGTCTCCTGTTCCACCCCTACCAACCATTTGGAGAATTGATCTTATTTTAAGTATATTTGTTTATGCACACGGGCGCGTGCGCGCGCACACACACACACACACACACACACACACACACACACACAGACCAGAAAGCTTAGTAATGCACAATTTAGTTGGACAAACAGATGCAGAGATCATTTTAGTAAAACACAGAAACTATGTTGAGTCAGATATGCAGAGGATGCTTCAGAGCAGAGAGAAGTCACCCACCCCACCAGGAAACAGGTGCTGGTGGTGCAGGGTGCAGTTGGGGGAATACCAGGAGAGGTCACCTGGGAATGTCTGACTACATTTTAAAAGATCAGATAAAATAAGTATAAGTGTGGGAGTGGGCATTAGCTTTGGGGAAACGGGCAAAGGTCGACAGCTTGAGGTGGCACCCTGTGTTTTGGAGCAGCCCAGCTGTTCTCCTCTGCTGGAGAGGCAAGTGTGAATCAGTTCGGCTAAAGCCTGGTAAACTGCACCAAGTAAACCAGAAAAGTCTGTGAATGGTGGAGTGGGGGTGGAGGGCCAGACGCGTGTTGGGTTAGCTCACTCTGCAGTGAGGCACTGGCGGGAACTGGAGGCAAACAAGAAAGGAAAGGACACCTGTGTTCATTTCCTAGGGCTGCTAGAGCAGAGGACCACAAACTGGGTGGCCTGGAAAACAGAAATTTAATGTCTCACAGTGTGGGAGGTTAATAGTTTGAGATCAACATCTCGTGGCAAAACTCAGCCGATGGCGATAGAAAAAGATCTGTTCTAGGCCTCTCTGCTTCTAGTAGTTCCTTGGCTTATGGCAGCATAATTTCAGCATTTACATGTTATTCTCCCTGTGTGTGTGTCTGTGTCCAAATTTCTCCTTTTTATAAGGACAACAGTCATATTAGATTAGAGGCCCATCTTCATCTTAGCTTATTACCTCCACAAGAACCAAATAAGGTCACAGTCTGAGGTACTGAGATTAGGACTTCAACATATGAATTTTAGGGGTCACAGTTCAACCCATAAAAGGCTACTGCAGTCGTTCATGAGAGAGAAACAGCATGGGCTGGAATTAGAATAAAGAGGAATGCTGAGATAATATTTTGGAGGGAAAGTCAAGACTTGGTGATTGATAAGAAGTGGGAGGATCCAGAGAGGGAGGTATAGGTTCTGTGTGTCAAAAATTGTAGGGATGTGATCATTACTATAATCCATGTTAAGATTGAAATACCTATGACACATCTGTGGGAAAATGTTGAATAGCCTGAACCTGGGGGCCAGGAAGGCCAGGGCTGATGGGAGGTATTTGGACGCTGTCAGCCATAGGTAAGATTTAAAATAAAGTATGGATAATAGCACCTAAAATGAGAAAATAGGCTGAAAATGGAACATTGAGTAATCCCACGATTTGTAGAGGAAAAAATCCCATTGAGGAGACCATAAAGGAACAGTCACAAGGACAGAGGGAGAACTAGAAGACTGTGTGTGCAGAAAGTTTTCTAGAGAACCAACATTCAAGATTTTACTCTTTGGGATCTTATAACTATTCCAGCCTCTTTTTAATTTTTTTCAATTAAACATTCCATACAGAAAAATGCACTTAGCATAAGGATACAGCTGGATGAACCGTTGAAAAGTGAACATATTCATGTAATCAGTGCCCAAGATCAAGCAATCGATCACTTTAGTACCTCATACAATTTCAGGGACTATTGCCCTCCCACCAGGGTCACAGTGGTATCCTAATTTCCAATGCAGATGAATTTTGCATGTCTTTGAACTTTACATAAATGAAATCAGATTAGGCATTATTTTTTGTCTGGTTTCTTTCACTGAACACTGAATTTTTAAGATTCATCCATGTTTCCTGTTTGGGGCGTTATGAATATAGTTCTTAAAACATCCTAAGGTGCATGTTTTGGTTACAGAGATACACATTCTTTGGAGTATACACATACGAATAGAATTACTGAGTTATATGCATATGTTAAGTTTTAGTGAATAGAACCAAACGGTTTTTGAAAGTGGTTGTATCAATCTGCATTCCCACCTGCATTATTTGAGAGTTCCAGATGCCCCCTTGACCACCAACAATTCTTTTTTATTTTAACCATCTTAGTGAGTTTGAGGTGGTATCAAATTATGATTTAGAATTGCATTTCCATGGTTATTAATGAAGTGTCTTTTTCAAATCTTTATGAGCCATTTGGATATCCTTTTTGTGAAGTACCTATTCCAAGTCTATTGCCCATTTGCTATTGAGTTTTCAGGATTTAAAAAAAATTATTGATTTGTAGGAATTAAAAAAAAAAACATTTTTTGGGTATAAGTCCTTTATAGAATATGTATTACTTCCCACCCTACAACTTGCCTTTTCACTGTCTTCATGCTGCTATTTGATGAATAGAAGCTCTGAATTTTATTGTGTCCACTGTATCATTTTCTTCTTTTATGGGTGTCACACTTTTGTGTTCTATCTAAGAAGTCTGTGTCTGTTCTCAAGTTGTGGAGCTATTCCACTGTGTTTTTTTTTTAAAACATGGGTGCTTTACCTCTCACAGTTAGATATACAATCCATCTAGAATTGATATTTGTGTAAGGTGTGAAGTAAGGATCAAGCTTTTTTGTTTGTTTGTTTTGTTAATCCATTGATTTTTAGAGAGAGTAGAAGGGAGGGGGAAAGACTAAGAGAGAAATATCCATGTAAGAGAGACACATCGATTGGTTGCCTTCTGCCTGCTCCCTGATTGAGGTACGTTTCCTTGACTGGAACTGAACCTATGATCGTGGGCCAATGCTCTATCTACTGATCCAAAGTGGCTAGGGCTCAAGATTCATTTTTTCCACCGGGACCGGTTTGGCTCAGTGGATAGAGCGTCGGCCTGAGGACTGAAAGGTCCCGGGTTCGATTCCGGGCAAGGGCATGTATCCTGGTTGTGGGCACATCCCCAGTTAGGGGTTGTGCAGGAGGCAGCTGGTCGATGTTTCTCTCTCATTGATGTTTCTAACTCTCTATCCCTCTCCCTTCCTCTCTGTAAAAAATCAATAAAATATATATATTTTAAAAATCCTTCACATAAAAAAGGGATATAACTGCAGTTTATGGTATTAGAGATTATATGTCTGTATATAGACCAAAATCTACAATACATGATTGACACCATCTCATTGACATTTGTAAAAGATGAGAGGCCCAGCGCATGAATTTGTGAACAGGTGGGGCCCCTATGGGTGAGCCATGCATCTGGCACCCTCCTGAGGGGAGTGGCCTGTGGGATCAGGCTGAAACTGACTCTCCAACATCTCCCAAGAGGTCCCAGATTGCAAGAGGGTGCAGGCCAGGCTGAGGGACCCTACCGGTGCATGATTGGGCCAGAGAGAGACACAGGAGGTTGGCCAGCCAGGGAGGGACCGCAGGAGGACTCCAGGGCATGTTCAGCCCATCTCACTCAGTCTCGATCAGCTGGACCCCAGCAGCAAGCTAACCTACTGCCCCATGGTGGTCAGTGCACATTATAGCAAGTGGTTGAGCGGCCTTAGCATATCATTAGCATATTATGCTTTGATTGGTTGATCAGTTGACAGGTCACAGGACAATTGGACACTTAGCATATTAGGCTTTTATCATATAGGATACATTTAAGGCAAATACTAGTAAGTGGACTCTTTTGCAAAGCAAAATTAGCACATAAAAATAAGTCGATTGTGGTGTCTTTAAAGGAAGAGACTATTAAGGGAATCCGAGGTTATTGGCAGATGCATTTACAGCTTGACATTGCTTGGTGTCACAGGGGGTCAAAATCCTCCTTGATGAAGGCCACCTACCTGACCCAGTATGGCACTGTTTAAGTTAATCAGTCAATTTCCTTTTGTTCAGCCTGGGGTGAGAACAGACACTTCCTACATACTGATGCCTCAGAGACTAGAGGACAGTAATGAAGTTAATCACTTCTCAAGGTTGAGTAGTCCTAGTCCCTTTTATTTCTGCTGTGGATCACAATTGTTAGCCACTTCCTCGTTTCTGTGTCCTGCTTTGGCTCCTGTCCCAGTTCTCTGTGTCCCTTGAAAGCTGTGGAACCCTGAACTTAATGCAGACTCCAGTTTTGGCAAGCATTTTGGGATACAGTGTTTGCTTGGCAAAATGCTCTCTTTGTCAGCTTCTGAGGAAGACTGCTCAGTCCATACTACCCCTGTAAGTTATGGTGGGAGGAAGACTCCCACCTAGGGCCGTGGTCAGCAAACTGTGGCTCGAGAGCCGCATGCGGCTCTTTGGCCCCTTGAGTGTGGCACTTCCACAAAATACCACGGCCTGGGCGAGTCTATTTTGAAGAAGTGGCGTTAGAAGAAGTTTAAGTTGAAAAAAATGTCCATCGTTGTACTGTTGATATTTGGCTCTGTTGACTAATGAGTTTGCCGACCACAGATCTAGGGCAATCCATATGCTATAGCCTCTGAGTGTTTTCATCCTGAAGAATCAGGTTTAATTGGCAGAAAGAGCCCAATCTTATAAGGCCTTCTGATTCCAGACTTTTTGTTTCACTCATCCTAAATCCCTCTTCTAAAGGGAATACAAATTGGGCTGGATTTTGGGTGGATTTTCAAAATCATCTACCTCATGACAGGGCTGTGTTGCACTGGGTAGGCCTAGGAAGATGCTACGTGCCGCTGAGGCAAGGATAGGAGCGGCTCTTGGACTAACTGGATTGCGGCCCCGTTGTCTTCAGACCCCTACCCTTCCCCTTCAGGCCACCATCATGTGACATACATGATGTCACATGTGAATCTATGTCTTTGTGAATCTATGTCCCCAGGCTTTCTCCCTCACCCAACCCCACCTCACTCTCCCAGTGTTCCATCAAGAAAACCTCACAAATTCACCCTAACGTCGATTGACTTAAAAGCTACAGAGGATAAAGAATGTCTGTTTTTGCCAAAATCGGTTTGGCTCCGTGGATAGAGCGTCGGCCTGCGGACTGAAGGGTCCCAGGTTCGATTCCGGTCAAGGGCATGGACATTGGTTGCAGGCACATCCCCAGTGGGGAATGTGCAGGAGGCAGCTGGTCGATGTTTCTCTCTCATCGATGTTTCTAGCTCTCTATCCCTCTCCTTTCCTCTCTGTAAAAAAAAATCAATAAAATATATTTTTTTTAAAAAAGAAAAAAAAGAATGTCTGTTTTGCTCAATGATCTATCCCAAGGATACATAATAGTGCCTGTCATATGGTAAATGCTCAATAAATATTTCTATAAATGGTGAGGGTGAGCTGGACTCTTCCAGAGGGACACTACCAGAGGCAGAGGGCCAGATGGAAGAAGATTTAAGGGCAACGGGATGGGGGTGAGGGATGATGGAGGAGCAGAGGGGCCCAGCGCTACAGGGGGAGATGAGAAGGCACCGGAGAGTAAGAAGGAAGGACACCTGGGAAGGGTCCAGAATGAATGGGGAGACTTGAAGAGATCAGAGGAATGAAGGTGGGAGTGAGGTAAGGAGCCAGGGGTCTGATGCCCTCTGTTCCTAGGGCCCCTGCAGGGGGTGAACATCACCAGCCAGGTCCGCCTGATCCATGGCACCGTGGGCAAGTCGGCGCTGCTCTCCGTGCAGTACAGCAGCACCAGCAGCGACAAGCCCGTGGTGAAGTGGCAGCTGAAGCGGGACAAGCCGGTGACCGTGGTGCAGTCCATCGGCACCGAGGTCATTGGCAACCTGCGGCCCGACTATCGGGACCGCATCCGCCTCTTTGAAAACGGCTCCCTGCTCCTCAGCGACCTGCAGCTCAGCGATGAGGGCACCTACGAGGTTGAGATCTCCATCACGGATGACACCTTCACCGGGGAGAAGACCATCAACCTCACCGTAGACGGTAAGGCACTCTGGCAGGGGAGGCGCGGGGCTGGTCCTGAGACCGGGGCAGGGTCTGTTAGACCCCAGAACGCCAACACAAAACCACTCAGGAGGTGAGAGTGAGCCAGTGGGGCCTTAGCAGTTAGTAGATAGGCTGCAGGAAACAGGTAAAGAGTGCTTACTGTACTCCAGAAACTGCTGTAAGTACTTTGCACATATTGACTCTGTTAATGCTCACAGTAATCTAGGCCAGCGGTCGGCAAACTCATGAGTCCACAGAGCCAAATATCAGCAGTACAACGATTGACATTTCTTTGGAGAGCCAAACTTTTTCTACTTAAACTTCTTCTAACGCCACTTCTTCAAAATAGACTTGCCCAGGAAGAGCCAGGCTCAAGGGGCCAAAGAGTCGCATGTGGCTCGAGAGCCGCAGTTTGCCGACCACAGAGCTAGGGATAGTAAATATCATTATCCCCATTTGCAGAAGAGGAAACGGAGGCACCAAAAGGTAGAGTAACTTGCCTAAGTCTTGCAGCTGGTAAGTGACTGAGCCAATATTTGAAGCCAGGCAGCTGGACTTAGCCTTCGTTGTTCCAGTTTACGACATCTTAGGAAGGTATTTGGGGGAAAAGGGGAGGGAAGATCTGTGAGGGTGGGGACCATGGCTGTCTTGTTCAGTATTGTACCTCCTGTGCTCAGTAGGTACTCAATACATAGCTGGTCAATAAATGAGTGAATGGGGGCATCTGTAATACTTTCAACAATAAAGATAAGTTAAAAATAAATAAACGAATGAATGAGTGAATGAATGTATGGGTGGATAGTGGTCAAGACCTTGACTAGTAGGACATGATCTCACTCATCTAGGGGAAATGGTGAACAACATAGACTGATGAACAAGAACAGACCCTGAGATAAGGAGCCATGGGTCAGACTGTTGGACCTCAAAGGGAGGGTGGGGATTAAAGGGAGAGATCAACCAAAGGACTTATGTGCACACATATGAGCCTAACCAGTGGTCAAGGACAATAGGGGGGTGGAGGCCTGAGGGGGGGGGGGGGGGGGTGAGGGGTTGGAATGGGAGGTTGAGGACAAAAACCACCTTAATGTGATATCTTTTTTAAAAAATATATTTTATTGATTTTTTACAGAGAGGAAGAGAGAGGGATAGAGAGTTAGAAACATCGATGTGAGAGAAACATCAATCAGCTGCCTCTTGCACACCCCCTACTGGGAATGTGCCCACAACCAAGGTACATGCCCTTGACTGGAATCGAACCCGGGACCTTTCAGTCCGCAGCCCTATGCTCTATCCATTGAGCCAAACCGGTTTTGGCTTAATGTGATATCTTAATCAATAAAGAATTAAAAAAAAAGAAAGAAAGAAAGAAAGAAAGAAAGAAAGAAAGAAAGAGAAAGAAAGAAAGAAAGGATCCTGACTAATGATCTCTGAAGGGCCTCTCTGACCACAGACTGAGTTGTGCTGTGTGGAAGGTAGGGAGTTAGGGAGGTGGGAGGAGCTTTCTGGCCCCTGGCTCACAGCCTCCCCTCCCCGGGCTCAGTGCCCATTTCGAGGCCACAGGTGTTAGTGGCTTCGACCACCGTGCTGGAGCTCAGCGAAGCCTTCACCCTGAACTGCTCCCATGAAAACGGCACCAAGCCCAGCTACACCTGGCTGAAGGACGGCAAGCCCCTCCTCAATGACTCGCGCATGCTCCTGTCCTCCGACCAGAAGGTGCTCACCATCACGCGTGTGCTCATGGAGGACGATGACCTGTACAGCTGCGTGGTGGAGAACCCCATCAGCCAGGGCCGCAGTCTGCCCATCAAGATCACCGTGTACAGTGAGTCCCCCCCCGCCTGCCCTCCCCTCGGGGCTCAAAGCCCACGAGGGGCTAAAGACATCCCAGACGGAGGGAGAGGGAGGCAGAGATGGGCCAGCTCTCCATGGAGAACGGCCACAGGTGAGAAGTGAGCCCTGGGCAAGCTCTGCCCTGAGCCAGCCATCCTGCCTGGGGCTCCCTTTCTCTCCCACGGCTACAGGAAGCCCTCCTCCCCACCCCCAGGCGTCTCTCACGTCCATCCCTGCCTTTCTCTCTCCCCAGAAAGAAGCTCCCTCTACATCATCTTGTCCACCGGAGGCATCTTCCTCCTCGTGACCTTGGTGACGGTCTGTGCCTGCTGGAAACCCTCCAAAAAGTCTAGGTAACCCCTCAGGTTCCACACCCTGAGCATCCTCATCCTTCAACCCACTCCCAAGCTCTCTTCTTCTCGCGGCCTCTTTAAATGCCTTATCCCAGGGCCCTGCACTTCTGCCCAGGAGATCCCTCTCACCACAGTGGGTACAGTGTATGGAACCACCTCCTGTGCTCACAACCCCCTGAAGACCCACACTGTTAATAATGGTTTCACGTGCAGGGTACCATTCCTGGGCTAGGCACTGTGATTGTGGTTAGTGCAATATATATATATATATATATATATATATATATATATATATATATATATATATATATATATATATTAATATATTTTATTGATTTTTTTTTTTTACAGAGAGGAAGAGAGAGAGAAATATCCATCAGCTGCCTCCTGCACACCCCCCACTGGGGATGTGCCCACAACCAAGGTACATGCCCCTGACCAGAATCGAACCTGGGACCCTTCAGTCCACAGACCGATGCTCTATCCACTGAGCCAAACTATTGTAGTTTCGGCCCATACCTTCTAAGTATCATTACTTGCAGTTTACAGATAAAGACACCGAAACTCAAGTTGGTTAAACGACTTGTCCACAGTCACAACGCCAGCGGCAAACGTAGATTTAACTCCTTCCAGCCCATCCTCCTGTTATCCGGCCTTTTGTACAGCCATCCACTCGCCCTTGTCCCCACCCCCAGCCCTCCTCCGGCTCCCCCTCAGCCACTCTGTTCACGGGGTGCTGGGTGGATTTGCAGAAAGAAGAAGAAACTGGAAAAACAAAACTCCCTGGAGTACATAGACCAGAACGATGACAGCCTGAAGCCAGAAGGTGAGCTCCCAGCGGCCCACTCGCCCAACCCATCCTCACTCAGATCAGTGGGCTTCTGGGAAAAGGCGGACGCAGGCCACAAGGAAGCCGGCTCTGCAGGGCCCCTTCCTCCGCCAACCGCGAGAAGACTGCAGAGCAGGGAGAGGTGCGGCCAAGGTAGGACCCCGCGGGATGCTGCTGACCTTGGTGGAGGTTGTGGCGGGGCCTGGCCCGGCCCCCTGGGGAGCAGAAGTAGTAGGTGCTGGCCGGCGGGGAGGAGGGTTCTGGGTCTGGGCCAGCTACCCCATTCTCCGCCCTGTGCAGCAGACACCCTCCCCCGAAGTGGAGAGCAGGAGCGGAAGAACCCCCTGGCGCTCTATGTGCTGAAGGACAAGGTGAGCGGCTGTGGACCGGGTGCCCCCCACACCCCAACGAGCCCTGGCGCCAGATTAGATGCTTATATCCCCTTATGGTGCTCAGAGCGGCCTGAGGAACAGGCGTGTCGTCCCCCTGTACAGGGTAGGAAAATAAGGCAGAGGAAGGCGGAGGAGGGACTTGCCCAGGATCAGCCAAGGAAATAAGGGCCAGGTCTAGGCCTTCAGTTCAGGTCTTTGAACATCATCAGCCCTGGTAATTTCCCCGCTGTTCCACTGACGCTGCCCCAGGCTTCCCCAGGCAGATGGAAAGAGGACAATAAGGGGCAAAACACTCAAGTTCATGCATTTCACTGTTTAAGGAGCACCTGTTATCTGCCAGGCACCATGCTAAGTGTCTTGTATTGGGGGATTGGGAAGAGGGGAGAGGGAATTGAAGGGCGGATGGGAATTGAAGGGCAGATGGGAATTGGGAGGCGGGAGGGGAATTGGAGGAGGAGTGGGGATTGGGAGGGGGGAGGGGGGATTGGGAGGAAGGATTGGGAGAGGGAGGGGGGAGGGAGAGGAGGGGGGATTGGGAAGGAAGATTGGGAGGGGGAAGGGGGATTGGGAGGGGGGAAGAGGGATTGGAGGGCAGGGAACCAGACCTCTGTCTGCCATCTTCCAAGAGGTGGAAGGGTGGAGGGAACCTATCTCCTTCACTTAGGTTTGCCCAGCGCCCCTCGCACACCAGCGTCGCGCCCCTAAACCCGGGCCGCTGTCCGCTGACCCCGGCGCGTGTCCTTGCAGGAGGCCCAGGAGCCGGAGGAGGAGCCCGCCCCGGAGCCCCGCGCCACGGAGCCCGGCCCGCCCGGCTACTCGGTGGTGTCGCCGGCGGTGCCCGGCCGCTCGCCGGGGCTGCCCGTGCGCTCCGCCCGCCGGTACCCGCGCTCGCCCGCGCCCTCGCCCGCGCCCGGAGGCCGGCCGCACACGTCTCCGTCCCGCGCCCCCGGCTCGCCCGGCCGCTCCGGCCTCCTGCGGACTGCGGGCGCGCGCTTGCTCCGCGAGCCCGAGGAGGCCGCCCCGGTGGGCATCAGCGCCTGAGCCGCCGGGACCCGCCTTCCCCCCCGGGGAAGCCCGCACGCGCGGCGGCCGGGGAGGCGGGGGGCCCCCCGCAGGAGCGCACGGAGCAGGGGTCTCGCCTGAGGACGTGGATGAGCTCGAGCGGATGGAGGAGGCAGCGGGGAGCCGGGGGTCCAGGGGTGAAACCGGGTCGCGTTTGCTGCTGGCTCGCTGGCAGTGTTCTCGGCGGATAAGGGCTGTGCCCCCTTAGGACTATGTAGATTATTAAATATCCGGCACAGCCCTGCAAGGATCTTATGGGAACTAATATCAGTAACCTAACTCCCGCGACTATCCCGCGCCCTTCCCACCCGCCTCCCTTCCCTCTGGCTCCTGGCACGTTTGGGGCAAGCCCAGGGCACAGAGGCCTTCTGCTCAAACACGCACAACCAACCGTCTGGAGGAAGGGGCAGTCAGATCGCGGGGACTGTGTGTACAGGGCACTGTTCCGAACACCCGGAAATCACTGCAGGCAGTGCCTCTGGGCGCCTGCTACCTGGGCACCTACCGGTGGATGCGGGGGGAGCTCAGGCGCATCCTTTTGCCCCCTGACCTGGGCCCCAGCGAGAACAGAGGATTCAAGCCCAGGCCTTGGCCTCCTCCCGAAGCCTCCCTCAGAGGCTCAGAGAGAGGCATGCTGAGCGGTCCTCCTGTCTCTGATCTCAGAGAGAGGGATTCTCACTCACTCCCGGAGCCCAGAAAGCAACATCAGGGGAAGAACTGTTTCTAACGCTCACGCCTGTGCCTTCTCCCTGGCTTCCTTACACAACCAGCCTTTCAAACAATCATAATCCCCCCCCCCCCCCCCAGAAAGGCTGTGGGCTCCCTCCAGCTGTGAGAGAACAAGGTTTGACTTTCCAGAGAAATGAAGTGGGGGGAGGGGAGGAGGATCATTGCTCCCAGCACCTCAGGGAGACGTGATCCAACCCTTGGCTCCCTCCTCTACCTGCCCTGCTCCCAGATACCCGGATCCCAAGAGACTGGAGGAGGGCAGACTCCCCAATCACACCGCATCTGAGTACAGAGGCGGGGCCACGGTGTGGCCAGGCCAGGCCCAGGCCCCGGCCTATGGACCCCTTTGTAGGAGAGACAATAACCTGCCGTGTGAGGAGAGAGGGCAATTGAACAGCTGAAAGAGGAGACCTTCTGTGTCTCCTGACCTCTGTTTTCCGATGCCTCCAAGCGTCCTTGCATCCCAGGCCCCTCCTCAGCCTCCTAAACTCCAGCTCTGACTCTCCACCTTCCCACAGAGCAATTCCTAAGGCCCCTGACCCTACCCTTCACACTGGTGCAAGTTTTGTCCCAGCCCCAAGGGCAAAACCATCTCCAGGTAGCCCCTCCCCCTCTGGCCGTCAGCGGTCAGCATGCCAGTGGCTCATTTGAGCTTGCATGCCTTTGCAGCTCCCCTTCATTGTCCAGAACTGCTCCCCTCGCCGTCCCAGGTGCCTCGTCCAGGCAGGGTACGTAGGTGCAGGGTACGTTGCTCAGGCAGGTGTGAGATGTAGGACTCGGAGAAGGGGGAGATGCTGGTCAGCCTGGAGAGGCAGAGGTGAAGGTGAGGGTGGGACGGGATGAGAGTCTGCTGTGTTCCGTAACCTGATGCGGAATCCCCGAGGGCCCCCCGGCCCGGCTTCTCTGGCTGAAGCCAGATTTACCTTGAGTGGGGTTGGGGAGTTGGGGAAGGAGTGAGGAAGTGGATTTTGTTTCTGTTGTATTTTGTTTGGATCTTCATCTTTGTATTACCGACATCCAGCAGAGTGCCTCGCACATACTGGATGCTCAATAAACTTTTGATGAAATGAAATGACAACTTTCTTCCACTTAAGCAAGAACAAAACAAACTTAAAAATATCAGTCACTTCCCTTTTTTCTTCTCATCTTCCTTCACCATCTTTCATCCTCTTTTTTTTTAAAAAAAATTCTTTATTGATTAAGGTGTTACATATGTGTTTTTATTCCCCCATTACCCCCTCTCTTCCCTCCCCACTCATGCCCTCACCCCCCTGGTGTCTGTGTCCATTGGTTAGGCTTATATGCATGCACACAAGTCCTTTGGTTGATCTCTCTCCCTTTACCCCCCCACCCTCCCCTACCTTCCCTCTGAGGTGTGATGGTCTGATCGATATTTCTCTGTCTCTGGATCTGTTTTTGTTCATCAGTTTATGGTGTTCATTACATTCCACAAATGAGTGAGATCATGTGATATTTTATCTTTCTCTGACTGGCTTATTTCACTTAGCCTTCATCCTCTTTGAAAACCCCCAATGGTCCATTCCAAAATCATTCACCCACATCCATCCATTCAGGTATCCTTTCATTGATTCGTAAACACTTGTTACTGCACCATGGTCCAGGCCCTGTGATAGACACTGAGGAAACAGCCTTGTTAGGGTTGCCGAAGGAGGAATGCACAAGGCCAGAGTGGTAAGGGTCATCTGGATACCAGATGGGCTGAGTCCCCAAATGGCACCAGCACCCAGGGGCAGGGAGTCGGAGATTTTTTTATTATTATTATTATATTTTTTTATTAAATTATTATTTTTGTACATATACCAATGCCCTCCCCCCTCCCATACATACCCGGGAGTCGGAGATTTTAAATGACTTTAGGAGGACTTTTTCTGGACAGAAAATTCTCTGGGCAGTTTGGGATTCTGGGAAAGTCCGAAGAGTTAATGGTCTTAGCAAATGGAATGTGGTCTAAGGGAAAGGAAATAAATGCCCCTTGTGAAGTGGCCTAAAGGTCAATTCCCAGGGGAGGGGCATCAATTCAATTATTTGATCAATCCTAACAAGCATAACTATGCTGTGATTTCTACCCAGAATTCTCATGGAGGAAGACAGGGGTAAACAGATTATTACAATACAGTGTGGAAGATGCAAAGATAGAGGCAGATACAGGGTGCTCTGAGAGCATATAAAAGTGTTCTCTAAACAAGATTAAAGTACCTTGGGGGAGAATAGGCCTGAATTTAGTGTTAGAAAGATTAGTTAAGCCCTGACCGGTTTGGCTCAATGGATACAGCGTCGGCCTGCGGACTGAAAGGTCCCAGGTTTGATTCCTGTCAAGGGCATGTACCTTGGTTGTGGGTACATCCCCAGTAGAGGGTGTGCAAGAGGCAGCTGATCGATGTCTCTCTCATCGATGTTTCTAACTCTGTCCCTCTCCCTTCCTCTCTGTAAAATATCAATAAAATACATTTTTTTAAAAACCACATAAAATAAAATTGCAAATCCTCTTTAGAGAAACTTGGTCTGTGACTGGCAGAATATATAATGGGGTTAAAACAGTCTGTTCAATAAATGGTGTTGGGAAAAATGAACAGATACACTCAAGGGATAATTAGTGCATAGCTAGTGTTCTCAAAGTACTTCCACATCCCCTACCCATAAACTGCATACCGACATATCCTGACGAGGAAAGTGGGCCTCTGAGAGATTATGTGACATTGCAGGTCTCTCTGCCAGTGGAACCAGGATCTCCACATCGTGTAACTGCCTTCAGTCCCACCTGAATCCTTACCTTTACCCCATGAGCTCGGCCAGCAGGCATGCCCGGCTGCATCTTCAGAGAACGTGGAATAGGAATCCAGAGAAACCAGGAACGAGAGGTGGACATTTTTCCCCTGGAGGGTCCTTTCGAAGGACACTCAATCCCTGCCCTTTCTCTCCCCTCTCACAGGCAACTAGGAGACACTCACAAGCCTCAACACTTTAACGCCAGAGGGCAAAGGAAGGTGCTTTCTAAATTGGTCACTGGGTCTGCAGATCACCAGGGCAAGGGGCGGAACTTCCTTAAAACTGAAGGCTACTCCCACCGACATTATCTGTTTGACTCATGCAGCCGACTCTTCCTTTGTGCGTGGGAATGAGACAGCCAGGATGCTGATGGGCCAGGTTGCCGGACGTGAGCACTGTGGTGTCTGGGAGCCATCTAGATCCACCTTAGTGTTGGGAAATCCCCTTGGGGGATCCCTGAGTTGGACCAAGTAAAGGGAAGGACCTTAACGTCCTACAGGAGCAGCTCAGATTAATTGACCTCTTCTATCTCCATCAGTTCTTAGCACTTGGCCCTCCGAAAGTCTGGGAATAGAGAGGCTGGAATGGAATGGAATGGAATGGAATGGAATGGAATGGAATGGAAGTGATCTTCAGGGATCAGGCGATCTCCAGGGATGAGGCACATGACTGTGGGTCGGGGGCCATTCCTCAGGCCGCCATAGCCTCTGGGGCTCTGTTCCTGCCGCCCACCACTGTGCCACCCGTCCATTCTCACTCAGCTGAGGACAGGGCTAGTCCTGAATCTGAATTCCTTTGGGACTTGCCATCTTTCCCCCTGAGGAGGGTTTATATCATCCTTCTAGATTGCACACATTTGGGATAAAACCAGTCGGCATTCAGTCCTTAGCAGAGAACTTGGTTCATCTCCCCGAAGTCCATGTGCAAGCAGGAGAGTCTAACAGAGGACTGCTGACGGCAACATTTTAGGGAGCCAGCCGTCAGGGGCCCAGGCTTCCGGGCTCTGTCTCTGGGAAACCTCAGCTTGGCAGGGTGTGCAGAAATTCCTTTGTCTCCCACATCCTTCTCGTGTCACCCCTGGGTGACTGCAGTGTCCGCATGAATGCCCCTTTATCCCTCTGGCTCCACAGGTCCCTGACCCCGTAAACTCTATGCCGCCACTCCTGGCACACATGCCGTGGACTTGACCACTGACTGCCCTTGGCTCCTCCTCTCAGTTCCTACCCTTCCAGCTCTGTCACCCCATTACTTTCCTTCTGTCTATCCTCCACCCCTCGGGTTGTACAAACCACTGTGCCCTCTTGTCCCAATTGTCTCCGTCAGTCTTGGTCTGCATTTGAAGGGGAAGAGGAGTTATTAAAGAGGCCTTCTCGCCTCTTTATTTTTCTATTGATTTCAGAGAAGGAGGGAGGAGAAATAGAAACGTCAATGATGAGAGAGAATCAATCAGCTGCCCCCTACCTACCCCACCCTGGGAATCGAGCTTGTGCCCCGACTGGGAATCATACCGTGACCTCCCGGTTCATAGGTTGACGCTCCACCACTGAGCCATGCCAGCCACCCGCCGGGCCTTCTCTCCTTTTGATAGGCTGTTAGGGCTGTGGCTGGGGCTGGTACTATGCCAGGATGGGAAGGAGAGGAAGCGAGGGAGTCAGCTGGGTTAGGGGCCTCGCGGAGGAGCTGGCCAGGAACTGTTGGAAACAAAGGCTGGACAGTCTTCCGTTGAGCCCCCAGAGCCCGGCCTTGGCTTTCCGGGAACAGCTCCAGGAAATGGCTGAGATTCCAGATTTGGAAGGAAGAAACCTGTAAACAGGAGGTGGGCTCTGAGAGGGGAATGCAGCCTCTCTCTAGGGAGGGGTGTGGGGAGCAGCAGGCTCAGAGGCTACAGGCCTGTCTGCAGCAGACACAGGTTTCAGGGCTGGAAAGATCTTAAATATCAGACTCACACCATCAGCCCGGGGCCTGAAGTGTCCCAGCTGAGAATGCTCGAATAGTTTTTGTGATGGAATGTGCATAAAAATAACAATATTGGTTAAACTTACTGAGCGGGGATAATGCATTAGGTTACCGGACCAAGTGATTTATGTTTTATCTCATCTCATTCTTACTCCATCTCCCAAGGTACGCACTACTATTGTTATCCCCACTTACAGATGAGTGACTTGCCGGGGCTAAGGAACTGCCATCGGTCTGCCATCTTATTCCCTTTGTCTCTGAGCTGGATAGGAACACATGGTGGGCATCTCCAGCTTGTCCCAGGGCCTCTGAAGGCTTCCTGTCTCTGTCCCACCCAGCCCCCTGCTCCATCCATCCTTGAGGAACGGACCAAGGAGCGCCTGCTCCACTCAACTTAGTTTCCTCTGGATTTCCGGTCCACTCTAGCAAGGGTCACTTGAAAGCAAAGGAATAAGGATGTGACTCAAAGGTTAAATACAGGCTTAGGGTTAAAGGTTAAAGCTGTGGTCAGAGTTGAGGTTACTGTGAGGATTGCCTTTAAGAAATTCCAGACAAGCCCTGGCTGATTTGGCTCAGTGGACAGAGTGTCAGTCTGTGGACTCAAGGGCCCCAGGTTCGATTCCGGTCAAAGGCCTGTACCTTGGTTGCGGGCACAACCCCAGTAGGGGACTTGCAGGAGGCAGCCAATCAATGATTCTCTCTCATCTCTCTCTCCCTCTTTTCCTCTTCGAAATCAATAAAAATATTATTAAAATAAAATAAAATAATAAAGAGAAATCCCAGACTAGCTCACAAGGTAAAGCTCAGGGCTGGGGTTGGAGCCAGGGAGTTTCTCTCCTCTGGACTCCTCCCAGTTCTTCAAGGCACCGAGGGCCAGGCAGGAAGCATCGGTTTCCTCAGAGCTGCTTCCCTCTGGGGCAGCCTCGGCCACAAACAACCACCAACCGACGGCCTGCCCGCCCCTCCCCTCCCCGTGAGCTCAGAGCCGCAAGACAAAGTGCTGGCGACCAGGACAGAGACCTGGGAGCAGCAGCCATGGGCTCCGGGGGAGCGGGCCTCCCTGGGGTCTGGTGGCCCCTGCCCCTCCTGCTCCTGTTCGGCACGGGTGAGTGTGACCGCCCCCTCTCCCAGCCATGGCCCTCCATCCAGGGCCTGGCCAGGGAAGAAGAGGCCCCTTTGCTCCTTGGCAAGAGATGATGATGATGATGATGATGATGATGATGATGTTGTTGATGGTGGTGATGGTGATGGTGGTGGTGGTGGTGGTGGTGGTGTGTGTGTGTGTGTGTGTGTGTGTGTGAAAGACAGAGAGAGAGAGAGAGAGAGAGA